TTGGATGCTTAACTGACTGAGCCACCCAGGTGCCCCTAAAATACACAGTATTTTTTGAATGCCGTGGGTCCAGAGGTGAGAATACTGGGCTCCCGGTCTAGGAGCCAGGGGCCTCACTCGGTGCCCGAATCACCTGGAGAGGTTTTAAAAAACTGACACCCTGTTCCCCTCGTAGGATCCTGATGGAAATGGTCTCAGGTGCAGCCTGGGCATCAAGACTTGAAAAGCTCCCCGGGTGATTCTCATGTGTCGTCAGAGGCCAAGCCCTTTCCTCTGCCTAATAGTTGACTGTCCCAGTTACACGTCGCTTAAAAAATAATGTATACTGGGGTGCCTGGGTGGCGCAGTCAGTTAAGCGTCCGACTTCAGCCAGGTCACGATCTCGCGGTCTGTGAGTTCGAGCCCCACGTCAGGCTCTGGGCTGATGGCTCAGAGCCTGGAGCCTGTTTCCGATTCTGTGTCTCCCTCTCTCTCTGCCCCTCCCCCGTTCATGCTCTGTCTCTCTCTGTCCCAAAAATAAATAAACATTGAAAAAAAAAATTAAAAAAAAAATGTATACTTTACAACATAGCCTCACACACACGGTCTCGTCATATTTCTTTCAAAACCGCTAGGAGTTCAGTGTGGACATCCCTACAGTATAAATGAGGAGACTGAGGCTCAGAGAGGCAAAGAAATGTTGCCCAAGGTCTTGAACCGGGTAAGAGTTCGGTCTGAAAATTCAATCCCCTGACTCCATTTTAAGATTGTTTCCCGTGGTCCAACGTTAGGAGGTTGAATTAGACCAGAGGTGGTAAATACCTGGCAGGTGGCCACACTGTTCCCCCTCCTACACCGTCAACCGACATCACTACCAGATTAAGGCACTTTGGTTTCTGAAAGAGAACAGAACCTCAGAATCCTTCTTAACACATAAATTCACTGGAATGGATGCATGAGGTGATACCACTTTGCATCCCTGGACTAAATGCTCCTGAAGGACCCTCCTATCCGTAACGTTCTAGAATTCCATAAACAGGCTTGCTGCTGCAGCCACAGGAAGGTTAGAATGTGAGCCAGCCACGGGATGCTTTCGGAGTCGGCTTCCCCCCTGCCGCTCCCCAGGGCAAACCGGAGAGAGTCCGAGTCCCCTCTGTGCCTGGGTTCCTCCCAGCAGCTCCCATAAAGGCAGCTCAACTTAGGGGTTAGGAGCAGAGATACTGTTGAAAGCCAGGCCTGGGTTCAAATCCTGGTATAAGCAAGCGAGACACCCAGCTGGGAGCCTCATACGTATTAAGTGCTCAATAAATGACCACTTACGCCAAAACTAAAGCCTGATCCATATACAGAAAGTCGGGATTCTAAGGTCGACCCCCTACCCGCTGCTAAGCCCATCCTTCAACCCGTCCCTTGTCATCCTTCTTGTCTTTCTTTCCTCCCGCTTCTCACCCTCAGACAGACGCCCCCTGGCTCTCCCGGAGCTGGGATTGAAGGATGGCTCTCTGTCAACACCAAGCTGCGTCCGGCCAGTGCCTGGACCATAGTATTCACAGCCTCCATTTACTGAACACTTACTCTGTGCTAAGCCTGTTACACATACCAACTCACTAACCTTCACAATGACCTCACCAAGTACATACTGTTAGCTCTGATTTGTGCATGATGACACAGGACCAGAGAGGCACAGAAGCTGGCTCAAAGTCACACAGCCAGGAAGTGGTCTTCATCTGGTTAACAGACATAAAGACCCACAGCCAAGGGCTGCCCCACATACGTCCCCTGATATTCCCCCGGCCATGTCTGGGAGGGGGCTTCACGACCCATGGGTATTTCATCCAAGACATTCAGTTCCCCAGTGCGAACCCCCAGGGCTTTCTGGCCTATGACGGAGAGGTAAGGATGTGGGCTCTGAAATGCAGACAAGACCCCTGACCAACAGCAGGTGCTCCATAGCCCCCCCCAGAACGAACCTAGTTTTGTTACCTCTGTATACAGCACAGGACTGCTGGTCAATAAAGGTCTGTGGTGAGAAACCTGCACCTAGTAGGTGCTCAAGGAGTGTTTGTGGGGACCTCAACAGAGGGAAGGTACCACATGCGCGCAGTAGGTGCCTGATGGCACAGAAGCTGCTCAGGCGATGTCAGTGGGCTCTAAGTGGGGGGGGGGGGCAAGCGCACAGTAGGTCTTGGCGAATGTGCCCGGGTGAGTGGAGTGGCGCACAGTAGGTGCTCAGGAAGGGTATTCCCATGCCCTCCCGGTGGGTCCTCTCTGCTCCCCTCTGCCTCCTCACCTTTGTTGTAGAGAGAGCCGTCAAAATAGTAGCTGCCCGTATAGAAGCCAGTGGCCAGCTCGATGAGGTGCCGAGCCCACGTGTTGCCAGCGCCTGGGAAGCTGGCCAGAGCGATGAGCTGCTTGGACTTGGCTGGGAGGAACCTTCTGTCCATGCAGCGGTTGTCTGCAAAAGGCAGGGCATGGTCAGGGGCGGACAGCGCCCGTCCGGAAGGGACCAGGGCCTTGAGCCCCATCCCGGCCCGCTTCCCAGCCATACGACCCAGTGCACAAGACGGAACTCCTTCCGGGCCTGCCTCCCCATCTTTAAAAGGAGAAAATGGTTCCTCATCACAGGATTGACGTGAGGGTTACATCAGCTCATGGATGAAAAGGGTTGATCACCCAGCAGGGATTCAATAAACATCAGCTACAAGGAAGCGTCTTCTCTCCTGCCTCAGTTTCCCCCCGGAACAGCGAGTCGCTCTCTCACACCGCCCCCAACTCCACCGTCCTTTCCTCTAGATGCAAACCCTCATACGGCATCCACCTACACGGGATCCAGTCCAAGGTTCTGATCTCGGCCTCCAAGTCCCGGGTGGCCTGGCTCCTTCCTGACTCGGCACCTTGGGTAGGAGCCTTCGCTGCCCTCCCAGCTGCCTTTGCCAGGCAGACTGCTGCTTTCCTCCCACTCTGCTGAATCAGCACCGCCTGCCTTCCCTACTCCCTGGGCTATCATTCTCGAACACTGTCCGTCTCCCCCATATGGCTCATCTCAACTGTTACTCGAACGACTATTTGTTTAGTTGGAGGCCCTGCCTACATTGCTTTCTGCTGCCTCCCCAGCACTTTCCGTATCATGTGGCATAGAGTAGGGACGATACCAGTGTCTTAAAAACGGATGGATGGACAGACACGTAGATGGGCAGGTAAGAGGATGGAGGATAACAATATTTACTTTGCAGGCATCTTGTACGGGCTGACGTGATACATGCAATATGTTAATGCGCTAAAGTGCTCGGAGGGGGTAGTTGGTTTTTTTTAGCCTTCAGCTTCCTCATCTGTACATGGGCTGGGGCAGGTGGGTACCATTCTGATTCTCCGGCTTTCCAGAGTCCTCCCAATGCTCCTGTTGTCAGAGCCTCAACACCTCCCACTGCAGCCCGCCCCGGAGCTGAGAAGGCACCGCGATGGTTTCTTTTGGCCCCTACGGATGTAAGGGAAGCTGAGGGAAGGCCAGCACAGGGGACTCTGCAGTGGAAGGGGAGAGGAGAGAATCCCAGAGTTGGGGCTCCAGCCCTGCCTCTGCACTCTGGGCCAACGACCTCAATCCTTAGTTCGGGTTGTGGACAACCCCCTCTCCCCTGCCCGAGCTCACCACACTGCTCCACATCCTACTCCTACCCTCTCTTCCTTCCCTCCCACTCCCGGGGAGGGGCAGAGAGAGAGAGAGAGAGAGAGAGAGAGAGAGAGAAAATCCCAAGGAGGCTCCTCACCCAGGACTAAGCCCAATGTGGGCCTCCATCCCACGACCACGAAGTCATGACCGGAGCCGAAATCAAGAATCAGACACCCAACCGACTGAGCCACCCAGGTGCCCCCAGATCACTCCAGGATTAAACACTTCTGTTTCGAGGAGCCACTCCCTGTCCTCACTCCGTTTCCACCCCACTGCTGGCAGACTTGTCCACACTCTCCAATCCACTTCCTCCTACTGTTCCCAGCAGCGCCATTCCGGGCTCCAACCCACTGCTGCAGGGAGCCTGTCCCACCCGAGGCACCGGTGACTGCCCCCTGCTCAGCATCTGATACCGCCCTCCATCCCGTCCTTCCCAGAATTCCTCCCGAGGTTCCACATGGTCTTTCCTGTTCTGCCAGACCTGCCATTACTGAAATCTATAAGCCACAGTGATGCCTCGTAACGGCCCCTCGAGGGAAAAGTTTGAAGTCCTGAACTGAAATTCCAATTCCTCCAGCGACTTGCTGGGTGACCTGGGGGAGATGATGGATCTGAGCCTCGGTTTCCTCACCAATAAAATGGGACTATTGACAACCATGGTGTCCTCGGGCGGGTCAAATGAGGGCGTGTGCCATTAGCACAGGGCTCTCCCACATAGGGGTGCCAATCAACTGTGGCTCCTACTAGTCCGAGGGCCGGCTCCCCTCCCCCACTGCCCAGGTTGAATCTGTGCAGAGCACAGCCGACTTTGGAAAAGAAGAATCCGGTCTTTGTTGAAGCCAAGGGGGTATCTGGGAATGGTTTTCGTGGAAACATACTGCAAAACAGCCTAGGTGTATAACTTTCCGGAGTATGGTAAGGTCTTCTATTTTGTTTTAATAAACATTTATTCATTTTTGAGAGACAGCGTGAGCTGGAGAGGGGCACCGAGGATCCGAAGTGGCCTCTGCACCAACAGCAGTGAACCAGACGCGGGGCTCGAACCCACGAACTGTGAAATCGTGACCCAAGCTGAGGTCACAGGCTCGAATGACTGAGCCACCCCAGCGGCCCAGGTCTTGCGTTTTGAAAGGGGCGTGAATTATCCACTTGTCACTGAATAGCACATTTAAAATGGGTGCATTCTACGCTACGCAAAGGTCACTTCAAAAACCGTAAGCAAATATTGCATTAAAATTAAGGATATGTACCCTGAAGTGTCTCAGTGTTTGCACCTGAACAGCTGACCCTCAAACAGCACGGGTTTGACCTGTGAAGGTCCACTTATCTGCAGATTTTTTAATAAACCCAATAGGCTACCCTAAATGTGTTTTCCTGAAGATTTTCTTAACACTTTGTTTTCCTCTAGCGTATTTACTGTGACACAGCATACGATACACGGAGCATTGAGGCTTGCAAATCAAGAGCAAGCCGTTGGTAGTTAAGTTTTGGGGGGAGTCAGAAGTGACATGTGGATTTTCGGCTGTGCAGGGTGTCAGCACCACCCCAACCCCTGACTTGTTCAAGGGTCAACCGTACCTTGAAACGCATGACGAAGACAAGGACCGAGGATGGCGAAATGGGAGGTGGAGGATAAATGTAACAGAATGTTGACAAATGTGAAATCTATGGGACACATTATGGGTGTTTACGGTAGGATTCCTTTTTTTTTTTTAATTTCCTGGAGGTTGGACA